TAATTAATCTTACATTGGGTAAACATCATCCGGCTCCATAGTGAATATTCAGTACTTCAGTAACTTCCACATTTGTTTAATCTTTTAGTTTGTTTTCCTTCATTTGCCCTCTCATGACACCCTCCACAGCAACCAACGGCCTCACCAGCTCCTATGAACAGCTCTTACAGAACTATACCACTATACCACTACCACTACCCCAGTTGGGTACAGGCTATATATATTTTTTATTTATTACTGTGGATCACTTTCCAAAGCGTAGGCATGGTTGATAACAAGAAATGTCAGTACAGAAAAGTCAAAGGTATATTTGTTGTTATCTCAAAACAGTGTCTCCATTACAGTTTGTCAAACAAAGAGCTCTTACAAGTTGCTTTTATTTACACTTTTATATCCTGCTCACTTCACATCTTGGTCACAGTTCTTAAAAGCTGTTATAAAAGATGATTTTATAGCAGTGTACCAAATGACAATGTGACAACAATGGTACAATGTAAAAGGGTCTTTGATGAAGCTATAGAGAAATTTTGCATCTACCCTTGACTTTGCTCCTTCATAGTGGTGGTGGGAATCACCAGAGCGCCCACAGTAGGATATTATCATACTTAGGTCACAACATGATATTCATGCAATATGCTAAGTATTGCAGTAAAATATATTCTGATATATTGTTAGAATTATTAAAAAAAAAAAAAAAAATTCTAACTGCAAATTATTTCCCAAAGGAAATCTTTGTCAACATCAGTTTTACCTCATAAGATAAAGATTTCAGTCTGTTTATCTGACTTTAATCATTTTCATTGCAGACTGACCAACACCATCATAAAACGGTCAGAAATGCTGCCTGACAAACTGAACTGGTGGCAGATTTAACGCCTTCTGCAAGGCCAGATTAAGTGTGTGAATGAAACACTTCACATGCAGGTATCCCGCTAACTGAATGGTAACACCCCTGTTAGAAGCATTTTGCAGTATGTCTGCAATGTGTACTGCAGTGTGACTTTCATGTACTGCTCTAGTTAGGAGAATGTGAGACAGAAGTTGCCAGACCTTTGTGAGATAATGTACCATTATGGTCACATATGAATCTACTGACCTCAAGGCCAGGTGTCACAAGTTGACACCACTCTTACAGCTGTACTCAGATTTCTTAATTTTGTGCTTCATTTCTCTGTAGAGCTTGGGTATAGCTGTGTCAGTAGAAAAACGTCAGGACAGAGTCACATACCTGGGTTCCATTGTTTTTAGCATGTAACTAAAACAAGAGCAAGACAATCCTATTGATGTATTCTTATGGAATTGCTTGCCTGGCGCATATGCCAAAAAAAAAAAGCCAAACCTGAGGGCTTGAAAAACAGGAGTCCAAATATCAATAGGTGACGTCATAGTGGCTGCATCCATTATTTTATACAGTCTATGGATTTACTGCTCTTATATAAGATTACTGATTGGAGTGCTCATCTGATGTAAGAACAATTATGATTCCCAATGATTTTCACGGGGCTAATGTTAACAAACCATTGGCATGCACATGTTTTATGATTCAGAATTTTCTTTTTTTGTTTGTTTGTTTGTTTTTGAAAACTGAAATTAAGAGGAAACGCACAAAAACAACATTGAATAAGTCCCAGTGATAACACACATAAAGAAATGATGGTAGCTAAATGTTGACTGTGGTTCTTTAGGGAGTGAATATCCTCCTGAGACTGTGTGCTCATATGAGGACAACACAGTTTGGGTTTACTGCACCTTGTAAGAGCACAATACACTAATCCATGTTAAAACAAGATGACAGCCATCTCTGCAAAGTCAGTCTACAGCTGATTCCAACACAAAAGTGGACAATGTACTGAACCTGATTGCATTTTATTGTTGAAACTTGTTTATTTATGATTGATAAAGTTTGCAGTTTGATATGCCAACAAATTTTACCAATTTTAGCAACACTAACAAGCTAAGATGCTGTTAATTAGAAAGTACCTGTTTGAAGACATTGGGACTTTATTGTCATCTCCTTTGAGGACATTGGAACATAGTTTCATTTGAGGACATTGAGACTTTATTATCATTAACAATATTTAGTTTTTTATACTTAGTAGGTCCTACTAATCCCAAATAGCTACTGTAGGAGAAATTGAAAATGCATACTAGGGCTGGGCGATAAATTGATTTTATCGATTAATTCGAATTTGCAGTTTAGGCCGATTTGTTTTAATGAAAATCGAGTTTCTATTTGAAATCCGCCACCGCCGCTCCATGCTGGGCTCCAGTAGTTCAGAGTGGGATCACCCCTCCCCCCCGCGCGCTTGATACACAAACAACATGGCAGCGAGCGGGGAAGAACTCCTTCTCAAGAAAGGGAATGATTTCTTCAGCGCTTTTGTGTGCACACCTCACCTGTGTCTGTGTCTGTGCTCACTAGGGCTGCCACGATTAGTTGACTAATCGATGACTAATCGACTATTAAAATAAATGGTAACTATTTTAGTAGTCGACTAATCGGTTTGAGTCATTTTTCATAGAAAAGTACTATAAAAGTACCCCAAAATACTCTTACTGCAGCTTCTTACGTTCAGATATTGGCAGCTTTACACACTCTCCCATGACTGTGAACTAAAACCTTTTGGCGTGAGTATGAAACAAGACATTAGATGACGTAATTTTGGGGTTTGGGCGAGACAGACCAACATTTTTCAACATTTTAACACATTTTTCGATAAAATGATTAGTCGACTAATCGAAGAAATAATCGACAGATTAGTCAACAATGGAAATAATCGTTAGTGGCAGCCCTAGTGCTCACCTGTGTGTGTGTGTGTGTGTGTGTGTGTGTGTGTGCGTGTGCGCGCGCGTGCGTGCGCGCATCAGGGCCAAAGTCCGCCGCGCACAACACAGAGAGCAGAGGAGGATTTTAGACACGCACCATGTAGGGACATAAATGCCATGCCGTTGTGTAAATAAGATGAATAAGTGTTACCAACGCCAAGCTGGCAGACCGGAACTGTAGTAAAGGGACCTCTGAAGACCATTAGCTCCTTTAGCTTGTGTTAGCTCGTTGTGGCAACAACACATAAACAACGGGACTTCATCTGCGTTAAAGAACAGCACTTTATTTTCAGCACTGCAGTGATGATGCACAGCCTCTCTCATCAGTGTCTGACTTTTACATAGAGGGAAATAACTCAAAAACAACGTGTAGAACTGCATAGGCTTCTTCACTGTGGCTGCTCGATGTAAATAACATAGCACATGTCTCACTTTCTTCCTGGGGCGCATCCATCTGACGTCACACACCACACCCGGCGCACTAACGTCTCATACCTCCAACATCAACTACACACATACACAGCTCCACACACACACACACACACACAAGCCACACACATCAGGCTCAGCCTGTAACATAAGGGTATTTAGTTTGTTTAATAAAAGGACAAGATAAGACCTGTTCTATAGGAAAGGTAACTTTAAATGACTTCTGTTGTGATCCAATATAATGGTAGGGGAAACACTGCCGTATGATAAGAAAGGGGTCCGATGGAAAGCAATCACAGATGCAGTCGCAATGTATATTGCAAGAGATATGGTGCCCATATATAGGCTACCGTGGAAAAGCTGGGGTTTATTCACATGCTGAAAGTTTTGGACCCCAGGTATGTGCTACCAGGCCGCAAATACACACACATACAAATTTGTTTGTCAATCAAAACCATGATGCTTATCAGCACTTAGACTGAGACCTTAAATGAGACCAGCTTGAAACAGGCCTTGGCTTTTTCATTCTTTGGTTTAACAGTGGTGCCATTGAAGGCAAAAGTATCTGTGACTAAGCTGCTGCTTGGGAATGGTTATTATGTTGAAATATCATCTAGCGATAAAGAGTTTTTCATAAAACTGAACTAGAATGTACCGCCTTTGGGTGGTACTAATTAGTGAAAATTCTGAACTGGACCCATAAAACATGATCACCACCAATTTCCCATAATGCTTTTGACCATAACAAATATAAGTTTCTGCTGTTGCCCCATATGCATTTCCTATCCCATCCCATCTAAGATGTACAGAATGTCTTTTTCTGGCACATCATCATGTGCAATGTTCCATATTGCTTTTGCAATTTATTAAATTTAAATAAATTGTTTTAAGTGAATGAAAAAGATAAGATGATGATAAGGGTGAAGATGCTAATAGAACAGGTGAATAGAATAGAATAGAATAGAATAGAATAGAATAGAATAGAAAAGTTGTTAATAGAACCAGTCAGCTCACACACACTCTGTATCTCCAAGTCAACCCAACTCATATTCTCCCCTGCACGATCACAATCCCCCACATAACTCTCAAACCCACAATGAATGATGACGTTACAGATACAAAATATATACAGAGTAATAATACCCAGTTTAGATGTGGATACACTCATAGGAGCAGTGTGGCACAAACTATAAGTGAAAGATCTGGCAAAAAAATTGGTTGTTGGGTAGAAGTACCCCAGATACAGGTGCAATACTTCAGAATATCATCATAAAAAGTGCTTTTTGAGTTAGATTGACTGGACTATAGGAAAGAGTCCTCACAAGTACAGTATAAAAATTGTGTGTGTGTGTGTGTGTGTGTGTGTGTGTGTGTGTGTGTGTGTGTGTTTGAGTAAGTGAGTGAGAGAGTCAGAGAGTAAGAGAGAGAGAGAGAGAGAGAGAGAGGAAAATCAGCAGGATAGTGAGCAGAGTGACAGACAGAGGGAGGAGGGAGGACAGGCGGAGTGCTCTGCTGGGCGGTTCTCGAGCCTGTCTCTCCCTTTGAACCTGTGGATCCTGCTCCTACCTGGCCATGTCATCCGGCCTGCGCAGGAAATGGAGGAGCGCGGTGCGAGCGCTCAGGACTCTCCGCAGGACAGGAGCAGAAGGAGGTGGAGGAGGCGCTGTGAGTCTGCTGTTATTTTTAGTCTCTCCTCCCTCCCAGGGCTAGGCTAATCCGCCGCTGCACAGGCTTATCCAGATTGGAGGTAGGACACAGAGGCAGGAAGGTTAAGCGCTTGCTCCTGTGGGAAGCTGACTTTGGTTGTGATGTCGTCTAAACTCCCCAAACTGAGCCAGACCATGCTGAAGCAGGAATTTGCTAGTCAGGGCTGTGGGTTTGACAGAGCAAGGGGACCACAGCTGCTCTGCTCACAGGAGCACTGAGGAAGCTCCTCTGCTAGCCATGAGTCTGGAGTGGCTGCCGACTGGCTGCTGCGCCGGCTACCCCAGCTGGCATCGGTGCAGGCTGGCCGAGACAGGCAAGATTGCGGCCTCAGATGGCTGCAGGGAAAGGGGAGGCGGCAGCGACGGTGGGGGGACCAGGATCCAGCTGAGGGGGCTGGACACTGAACAGCTGAAAGGCAGCCTGGTGGTCCTCTACGCACCTGCTGGGAACTCCTGTCTGCTCAGACTGGTGGGACATGCATGGATGGAAGGATGAATGATAGATGGTAGAGAGCCGAGTGTGCTGATGTGGTGTGTTTTTCCTCAGGTTGTCTGCTGTTTTCAAAGACTCTCATATTCAGTTCAGTTTAATATATTCAGTTTAAATTATTAAACGTAAAAGACATAGAGTCCTTTAACATGGTGGATTTAAAGATAGATTTAAGGCTGGAATTCGCAACTGGAAAAAAGATCTTCAAAAAAGTCTTGGAGAAGGAGTGGTCATGTAACTGATTCCTCTCAAGAGGCAACATAATGTTGATTTGCTATAATATTTCTTGGTGGTTTAGACATTTTAAACAAAATAAACTTCATTAGATTTTTTTTTGTAGATGACATTTTGAAGTATTTTATTACACATATTGTTTAGACATATTTGTGATACTTACAGCTATTATTGCTCTCTAAATATGTTTCATATTCCTGCTTCATGGTGAATCCGTTGAAAGACTTTCAACCTTAAATATATAGGACTTGCAAATTTAAAATGTGATTGTGCAGCATTTATGACCAAGAAACGGCAACAAAGAATGATTTTCTATGGTCAGTTTGACCAGATCATCATGCCCCTCAGCTTTTTTATAAATGTAAGCTAGAGAGTGTTTAACATTTGGCTGAAAACAAACTACAGCAAGTGAGTACATCTGCAGCGGACAGACATCAGTACAGCTTTACAATAACCTCAAGCTGTACTGTCATGTATTTTAACATTTGCATGTGTGTGTGTTTGTGTGTGTGCATGCAGCTTTTTCTTTTTCTTATTCCTTCATGAATTGTTTTTGTTGTTTTAGATTGTGTGTACTCCTTTTTGTGGTTTTTTTCTTTCGCACCTCCAAACACTGAACTTCTTGCTTTTATGATAAAGTTACATTTGATTTTGTCTAAAATTCAGGCTAAATCAGGCTACTCCAGTGTGTGATTTTAGACAGCATGTCGGCATCACGGAAGCAAAAGAGGTGTGACAGGCATGACATGTAACACAACAGCGTTGGTCTCTACTGTGACATAACAGAGGCATCAACATCACTTTCTAAACAATAACAATGGCATTATAATAGCAATAACAACCATTTGCCAGCCTGTTATATGGCAGCTGATCTCATCCTTTGCTCGGAGTGTAAGGAGCTCCTGGACCTCATTGTTTTCCCAATTTGCAAACATTTTCGGCTGCTGTTCTTTCTCTTTGAGTAAGCTGCTAACTGCTATCCTCTACTTTTTAAACCTCCTGCTGTGGGTCACACACATAACACGTCCTCCAAAACGTTACATCTATGCTGCCAATGATCCCATCCTGCTTGGCTGGCCCATGTAAAGTAGCCATTTTTAATGTTAATGTCTTTAATGAATTAAATTGATTGTTATTATAAAGGCATATTTCCTTTCATGTCACCTCTTTTATGGCAAAAATCATAATCGTAATTATTTATGCATGTTTACCCCTTGACTTTGGAATCGTCATAGATTTATTGAACTCTTTTTAAATAAAATTTCTCTTTTAACAGTGGATTTTCTTAAATTCTAAACATATTTCAACTGAAAAACAGGTTCAAGGTGAACTAAACCTGCTACAGCTGAGCTGAGAGTGAGTTTCCGATTTTTTGGAGGGGTGAGAGAGCACCGCTGTGAAGAAAAAGGGTGCACTGGATTAATAACACGAGGAATGCTGCACAATAGTTGTTTAATCTCAATTATCTTGTTTTTATAATTGTTTAAAATCATTAGTGAACCCTACTCTTTAACTTAATCGCTTAATATAACATTCTGCAAATTTACCTCTAAAATGAATCTGGTGTCTTCCAATTATCCCTATCATACAAATCTGTATCTGCAATCAAAAGCCCCAGCAGTGTATATTATAGTTTATTTTAACAGTACATTTTACTATTTAATTTTATTTTTACTGATATTTTTTTGACAAGTGAGAAAGATGTGATTGAGCTCCAACCAGCTGAACAACTATCGATGTGTGCTGCTGAGTTGATCACTTGTTACTGTTACCACCTGCACAGTTTGCCTGGATGCCACTGTGATATACTGTATCTGTGTGTGTGTGTGTGTGTGTGTGTGTGTGTGTGTGTGTGTTTGTGTGTGTAATAGAAGGAAAAACCTTAATTTGTAAATGTCATTGGCATACATGTGTGAGTGCTGTGATATTCTGCAGCCCATACAGCCCATTTTAACAATAAGATAATTGAAAAATTCAGAATGATAGAAATTAAATCTTCTGATTGTGAAACGTGACTCACACGTAGAATTCCTCTGTGTTGCGTGTTGTGTTGCTTGTGTGTGGGTGAATGTGGAACATGTACCCATTAATGCTGTCCTGTCATGATGAATGACAGCATCAGTTGTTTACATTCAGGTGACAAAGGCCTCTAGTGGCTGTAGTAATTATTATGGGAGCAAAGGAGGTCAGGTGATGTTATTCTACAGTGACCTCAGTGAGGAGGTCGGGGTGGAAGGATAAGTTAGCAAAACATCCGACTTAAATGCGGGACACAGCTGTTCATTTCCTGTTTCTTACAGTCAGTGACTACAGTCGCTCCCTAAAACCACACGTATTATTGTAACCATGACAACCAAGTTCTCCTAACAAAGTAGTGATACAGTAGCATTGTCACATCATAAAGCACATTTATTTTTCAACAGTGACTTGTAACAAACAAGTAATGGAGTAACTTTACATAGGACGGCCAAAATAAAATGCAATAAACGCAAAAAATAAAAAGTGAAAAAGTTGTTGGTGGTACAGTAGTAATGTATCCCTCAACTAAACAGCATGTTGGCTGGAGTAAGGTGGAGTGACTCCTGAGACTTTTGGTTTGAAGGCAGATGTTCTGAGTATGGCGCCACAAAGGTTGGTAGTTAACTAAACACAGGACACCTGTGTAAGGTGGATAGTTTTGTTAAAGGGAAATTAGCCACCTTTTATGTGGATGTCCAGTCAGTGTTGATGGTAAATGTAGTCAATTGAATCACTGTATTCCTAAGTGCATATTACAATATATTGTGATTTACTACCTTTTTTCCAACTGCAAATTATTTCCCTAAAGGAAAACTTTGTCAACATCTGTTTTACCTCATAAGATAAAGTTTTCAGTCTGTTCATCTGACTTCAGTAATTTTTATTTCAGCAAAATTTGAACAACAGCATCATAAAATGTGTCAGAAACGCTGCACACCTGACAAACTATGACACTGCTTGAAAATTGCATGTGTATCCAAGTCTGCCTTTCCTTTTGTGTTAAAAAATCCCCCAAATAAGTCCAGACTTTTAAATTAAACGCTGGCAGCGTGTTTCAGATTTCTTTCTCCGGTGCCTCTATATTTTTCTGATGAACGTTTTGATGAACTTCCTGCCAAATGCCGCGGACTGAAACCTCTGCTGACCTCACCAGGAAAAAATACATCACCACCATCTAGTGGACAGAAAAAGCAATTTATTTTATTATTCCAGTACCAAAAGTTGTACTAATATGTGTATTTGCGAAAATTGATAATGTATATAATGAAAGATTGATATGGGGTGTCCGTGTATTGATACAATATCGCAATCCTAAAGATTTCAGTACCATGCTGTATCAATTTTTTCACCCACCCCTACATGCTGTATTGACAGGGAAAACTGAGTTTTCTTGCCCTCTTACCCCTTTTCCACCAAAGCAGTTCCAGTGTTGGTGCTGAGCTGGTGCTGGTGCTGGTGTTGGTTCTCAGTTGGTTCAACTTGCAAGCCAGCTAAGGACCAATTTGCTTTTCCAAGGCTCGAGGTGGTTAGGGTACCACGTCATTGCGTCACTGTATACGTCAGTTACGCCGTTGCTTTCCCACTGGCGCCAAGCTCGAAGGAACAACAACAACAACGATGGCGGACCACGTATTTGTGCAGCTGTTACTCCTGGCTCTATGAGGCTTCATCGGCATTCGATGCGTCCATGGCTTCACTCTTTGCTGTTTTTTTAAAATGGTGCTTCGCGCGGTCTCGTTTATTGTTGTTGGTCTCAATAACCCTGCCCCCTTCCCCGTGACATATGTGGTTCGTTCTTCTAGTCCAGCAAAGAACTGGTGCCACTCTTGAACCGTTTTTTCTGGCCCAGAGCCAGTTCTTTTGTCTGTCGAAACAGGAAAACCGGTTCCAAATTAAGCACTGGCCCCGAACCAGCACTGGAACTGCTTTGGTGGAAAAGGGGTATCTGAGCCGTGCCAGCAGTGCCTTCATGTACCAGGAGGCAATGCACAACCTACTAGCCTGTAGCTATTACATTTGTTGGCCAATAGTGTAGCTGATTCTGAACCAGCTTGAAGCAAGGTGGCAACACTCTTTATTGTCTCTTTGTCCACAGCAGCGCATTACCGCTGTACTTCTTTGGTTTTTAAATAAAAGCCAAACTTAAATTAAATCTGCATTTTGCTAAGAGGCAATTCAAAATACAGTAGCATCAGGTAACAAAAATACTAAGTGGTCATCTGCCCTCTCATCCCTGCTGGCCTTGATTGTGTTTTCCAGTTTATCTTCTGGATCTTGAAGAAGGTCTCCATCACACCTCTGTCCAAGTGCAGAGTAAAAGCTCTCTCAACGGTGGTGTTGGCGACACCATTCAACAAAAACTGCCCACACTGAAAGTCCTTGAAGCAGAATACTTCCATTTCTGTTGACAGCTTGAGAAAAGGCACCACCAGTCAGTGTTTGCTCTCGACTGCTTAGGTTCCAGAGGCTCTCTGCCAGCCATATCCTCTGCACGGCTTATGCAGCTGCAGCCGCAGCCACGCCCTCTCTCCACTGCATTTCTGCGGCCATAAATTCTGGCCTAAATAAATATGGCTGAATATCTGAGTCAGCCAAAACACTGTAAAATGTATCCTCATCCATAAAATCCTCTGCTTTCAGTTTTTGGGATGCCATTTTTTGTCGCAAATTTGCAATACAAATTTTCTATTTTGGTGCTAGTACAGAGCACATCTCCTGGCTAACCA